GGTATCCGTATTATCGAGATCCGGGACAGCGGGGTTTGAGTGTATTGTACGAGTACAAGAACTCTTGCTATTGTGCTTAATACAGTCGCACACAGCTATCCCGGGTTCCACTGAACCGGATCAGAACTATGATACTGGCTGAAAGTTAGTCCAAAAGAAGAAGAAAATGATGCAGCTGAAGGTAAAAGCGGTGGAGTGAAAGAGTAAGGGGTCACTGAACATAGGGAAGGCAGAAGGACGGGGATCGCGTGCGAATAGTGGGAACGGCGGGATAGCGATTCTTGAAAGCCCCAACAGAGGAGTAAGAATATGGGGCATCTGTGCCTGCCGGTTGGATAACGGATAGTGTTAACACTGCCTATGAAATTTTTTTGAGATCAAGCTTATGAATAAGAATACATATTCTCTGTTTTTCTTTTGATAATGCATTCTCCCTGGCTCTCTCTCCTGTTGTTCCGGATGCCTCGTTGTTCCGGACGGAGCTCGTGAAACCTGACCATCCATGATAGCGGGGTGCGACAGTACGAGTACGAGTACGAGTACAGTACCCCGTAGTCTAGGATGAGATCCGTGATACCCAGACATCCAGGATAACGGGAGCAGCTATACCGTAAGAACCGAATAAAGAAAGGGACATGTGTTCGGACGTTAGACTTGCATCTCCCAGTACTGTAAGATGAGGTGCTTTTTTTTCTTTTTGTTTGTCTCGGGGAGAAGACACTTTGGTGTTTCTCGCCCCTTTTCCAGAGGGGGAAATTCTGGACTACATAGCACGTGGTCCGTCCGCCCCAGTTCATACGGTATAGCAAAAGCGGGCCAGTGGGTGCCTGAGGACTAATGCAATACGGTACTCGAGTAGAGCCCCCCTACCCCCGGGTATTCTGTATCTCCCTGGACAGGTAGAAGCAATACCGGTAGTTGTGAGCATTTAGGCTAAGGATGCACAACTAGTAAAAAAGTGAAATGGAATAAGGCGAATTCCGAACTTCCGGTCACGGGATGGGAGGAAGCACAGCATGATTTAATATGCAGAGCCCACCAATAGCTACGTAGGGGTGAGCACCTCTCGAGGCTTGTATCGGAGTACAACTGGACCGGGAATTCATCAGGGCGAAGAGCCTCGAGGACGGATTGGGTATACTCAATGATTCCGGCTAGTTTCTTGGCTTAAAAATTGAAGAGAAAAAGGAGCCTGGAGTTTCCCGCCGGTGGTTCAAAAAAAAAAAACCGTGTGGGAAATAGAGGTGGCGGTAGGTGATGAATTGAGTCTAGAAAGACTCGTGAGGCATAACAACGAGGTGCGAGCGCATGGGTTTTCCTAGCTGTACAGTAGAACACGTATAGTAGTACTTGTAAACCCAGGGCTTTTCCTCGGAAGTTGACAACAATATTATCGAGACCCTTATCACAGTTTTCTCAGCGTTTCGGCTTTCTCAACCGCCTTCGCCACTGGACGCCATAGTGGGGGTTCGGGTCGGTCCTTTGACTGCGGGGGGCATTGTCCCTAAATGAAGGAGGATTGGTTATGGCAAATTGCGCTCTAGAAAAAACCCTCCGAGGAATTGCAGCACTGCTGATACTCTTGAAATCGATAATACCCCCCAGGACCGTTCGGATAACTTATTGTCTTCGGAGTCGTTTTTGCCTTCCAAGATCGTCTCAGATTTGCTAGATAGGTGGAGTGGATGTGGTTGGGAATAATAAGCTAACTGTACTGACATGATCTGGACGAAATACGACTTTACAGGGCTGCAGGTTCCAGCGTGCTCAGGACCAATAATCCTGCGAGGAGTGTTCACCCAGAAGAAAGTATCATTCGAAGTACAGTCACACCCCGCTGTCCTAGATCTCGATAATCCGAATGCCTCGCTGTCCCCCATGAACTTCTGTGAGTTCTAACCTTCTTCACACCAAAACCTGGCCCGCTGTCCTAGCTCACCCGTTGTGCCGGTCAGATCCTTTGGATTTTGGCCGTCCGGGATAGCGGGTGGCTACTGCATATCCAAGTGCAGCGTATACCCCTTACTTAACCTTTTATCCATTACCCCTCTCGCCCTTTAGCATCCCCACACTGCCCTTCTTCCATTCCTTATTTCTAGCTCGGCCCCTTTCCCTCTTTTAGTATAGTATAATTTCTCTACCGGTACTGTACCAACCACTGCAGCATCCCGCCCAGCAGGGGAACGCACTGGGCACCCGGGGAGATTTCCCGGAGTGTCTGCCGTATCCGGAAAAACCTAGTTTCAGCTCAACGAGTGGAACTCTGTGTTCTGAGGTGTCAAAAATTCTGTGCCACTCAGGGTTGTGTCCGGTCTTCTGCGACCCGGGGTGGCGGGATGCAAGCGGATATCTCCTCTAATCACTCTTATCATTGAACCGGTAAGGTGCTTCTAGCCCTAGACAACTGCCGGTATTGAACGCTTGACCCCTTGGCAATGACGTTTGGAGTCACCAACCTGGTCACAGGATTTGTTTCACAAGGGCGAAACAATCGTTCAAGGCTCGAATTTCATGCGTAACCAAGATGTTTCAGGTCCCGGTACTTGTATCGTACAGGTATCACACTCGGGGAGATTGGTAAGCATGCGGTGCACGGAGGTAATTATAAATTTCCATGGCAAACGATTTGTGGGCACCTAGCCGTCCGTGCTAATTCAGACTTAAAATGATGGGTACCGTACTTGTATCTATTGAGCAGTGGAGCCATGTGTATTGTGATAATCTATCCTTCTTAGAGGCACGGAAATGGGGGGAGAGAAAATTTAAAATTGAGGCGATTTAGCTATCTCATAGTTGATCTGTTCAGGGCATCAGAATTTGCGAGAACACAAACCGGGCACAGATACGTACGGTGACTCACATTCCAGGTCTTTGAGGATAATCAAGCTGTCAAACAAAGGCCTCCTCTTTCTTCCCTTTTCTCGCCCTTTTCTTCCCTTTTCTCGCCCTTTTCTTCCCTTTTCTTCCCTTTTTCCCCCAACCCCCCCCCTTTTTGTGGGGGGGCGGGGGTTAAGGAACGTGTTCATTTATTTTAGAAACAGTGGCCCCTACGCAGCCCTCTCGTTTAAAAGGGCAGACCAACCAAAAGCTTCTGGCTTCGATTCACTCGGTGATAATTGGAGGATGCTCGGGAGGTGTGGTGGTGACTTGAGACGCGATGCAGGAACCTATTGATCGGATCCCTCGAACATGTTGATCTGCTACCTTGAACCCTGCATCTTACAGATCCTGAGCTATTAACGGCGTGGCACGATCGATCCATCCTCCCACCCAAGGATCGGGAAACTGCCCTTTCAGGCGGGTCAGCCTTCGGATGATGCGGGGATTCCCAAGGTTGTCAAGAGAAACCGCTGCATCGGTTCGGGGGGATGTGACCTGTAGCTGGCATATGACCAAACCCTTGTTATGGAGGGTACTGTATAAAGAAGGAAAACGCATGGTCGGGTCACAAACACAACCGGTGGGGTTGGAAATACCGCTAATTGGCGAGTGACGCTCTGTGATTCTCTCCTGACTCACACTTGAGTACGGTATTAATTACAACCTTTGAGGCAGACCTCACTAGTGGATGTGGCCAATAGCAGGTTATTCCTATTATCACTACTCTATTTGAGCACAGTGCCGTGCTTGTATCGGTACTTGATTTAATATATCGCTGCAACGTTGCCTATGATGGGATGCTGTGCAGTGGCTAAAACGGCCCAACGAATATATGGACCCTCATCATCATCATCTTCATAGTCATCCTGTTTCTCTCATTTGTCTAGCCAAATTAGGAAATAAGCGTCCCAACATGAAGGGCGCGATTCAGGGGGGGGTAAATGCACTCCGGTCCACGGGGTGAAAATTAATTAGTACATTCACCCCCGTACTTGGGGTGCGTTCCTAGGTCCCGACGGCCCTTTGGTAGACTACTTTTTCCCTGCTCTCATCGTGGACGTGTTGCGGGCCACGTCTCTTTTGCGTCGGCGGTACTACTGGTCGCTCAGTGGGTGGTCCGGGCGGGGGGTCGGCTGGCGCCTCGCCAACATCACAGTTCGTTTTCGCTACCGGAACAGACATGTTAACGTCGTCCCAGGGTGGGGGTGATGGCGTGACATTTTTTGGAACTAACCACATTGGACCACAAAAGTCGCCGGGGTCGAACGGATTATCGTATTTGGGGAGACAGCCGAGGAATTCCAGGGGATCTCTGCACCGGGGAATTTGGGGGATAGGGGTGGAAAGGCTTTGGGGGAACGGGAAGGAGAGAAGGGGAGGTACAAGTATAGCGGAGAGTGAAAAACGCCTTTTTGGCTGGTCTAAGGATTGCCATGGTTTGAATATGGTGGGGTTATCTGGCGACATTTGCTGAAGGGGGGTCTCTGGCATCACAGGACAGAATAGCCGGTCCTTATAGGCTGGGAGTTTTCCCATTCGGAGTAATGCAAGGGGCACGGGAGTATCACACAGACTACTCGTACAAGTACGGTACTGTACTCCAGTACCGGTATCCACTGGATACAACGTACCGGTACGCATCCGCACCCCCTTACATTTATCTCATTGGTGGGAGTTGCCGGATCCGCGTTGTTATCTGCATTTTATTACCGGTAACACCTCCTCGCTAATACAGTACCGGTAGGTGACTTGTAAATATATAGGTGTGGGAGGTTGAAATAAAGACCTCACAACATTCCGTACAACTCCCGAAAGCGTGGCAATGGTAGGATTAATTTACTTGTACCGGCGGCATCCTGTGAAGCTAGTTCAATTGTACCGTGCCCCGCATGCGGAGATGGCTTTCGTTGGCCGAAAGAATTCTATGGTATCTGCTGCGTGTTACTCTGGGCGGCCAGCCATATGGTTCGTTCTTTTGAGTTGACTTATGACATGCTAAACCAAGTCTTCTCGATTAATGGGAGCCATCGCTCTGGATTCCTCGTTTGCAGCATTTTGTGACACCATGGTGTGAGTGGGATGATTTCAAGGAAAGGAACAGTGGGGGAGACATGTAGTTTAGAGGGTTGAAGTTTCATTACGTTTGGTATCATAAGTATGCTAGATTGCTGTGTGACACGAGCGATGGGTTACCGGTATGTCAACTCAACTGGGTTACCGTATCATGGTAGGGAAAAAAATGCAAACACGATTGTATACAAAAAAGTCCCGCCAGAGTGGGAAACGCTCAGGCCTACGTCAGCCCATCTGCCTCCAGATCGGCCACGATTCCTCTTCCCAACGCCCCCCAAATCTTAGTTCCACCGACTGCCTTCTCCCTCTCTCCGTACTTGGAAACCCTCATGGCCCAGATATCTCTCATAACCTTAGTGATCACGAGGGTATCATCACTGTCGGTGTGCGGCTGGTCCATGCCGAGAGCGGCCGTCCCAGCCTTCTGGCCCATGTGTCCCTCCTGAATACCGAACCTCTCACCGAAAAATGGCATACTCCATTCCTTCGCGTTCTCACCCATTTCGAGGCAGGCGGCAAAGTCACTTTTGTAGTAGGCCTTGCCACTATTGAATAGCGAAAACACAGCCGTATGAATACGGCTGATGCGATCCGGATCATCCGGCGACATCCAGCCGGCTGCTATGGCGTATTCTTCGGCGCCCTTTCTCAGCGATGCCTTTTGCTCTTCACCTTCGAGCCAGTCGATGCCCATTTGGGTGTGATAGTAGGCTATAAAGGAGTGTCCGTGGGCGACCGGAGCGACGTAATGAGCGTAATATATATTCCACCAAGGGTCGGCGTCGTCACGGATTGGGTTAGCGTTCGGGGGCTTGGGTGAACGATTAAACGAATCAACGAGCCATTGACCGATCGCTCTCAACTCCTTGAGTTTCTTGCGCTGGTCATTGGGAGAGGTGGGGCTAAGGCCATAGGAACGTGCGATGGATTCCCCAAGAAGTATTTTGACCCCCCTGAGGAACGTTTCTTCAAGGGTGCGGCCACGGGTGGCGCCGTCAACGTTCGGCCACATTTTCCACGCTTCTTCAATGAGCTCCATGGCACGTCTGAACTCCTTCTCGTCATTTCCAGGATCAACGATGCCGGCGAGGCACCCATTCATGAGGGCGGAACGGATCGAAAGCTGGAGCGCCGGGCGGACGAGATCCCATCCGGACACAGGTCTGGCAGGCCCCATGTGAAAGCTAGCACCGGAGTTATTAATCATTGGTCCACTTTGCGGCGGTTGACTAAGGCGCTTGTTGTATGCTATGATAGTATCTTTGGGGGATAAGTCCGGGCCGATCGCGTTTCGTTGGTGCTGCTCGAGTTGATAACAAAGTTGAAGTTTATCGATGGCTTCCCCATTTAGACGAATGACCCGACTGTCCTCCAATAGCGCAGTTGTAAGCTCCTCGAGGGTCTGGACGCGGCCGAATATTCCGAGCACCCCTGGGGGCGCGCCCGGTACCTGCCCTTTGTGGTACTGGAGGAGGTTTGAGAGTGCGTTTTGAAATTGCATTTCACTATCACATTTAGCGGGTTGTCAATAGACATGTGGCGGGAAACATACGCGATCCATATTCTACGCAAACAGGTCCCGTTTGGTGGCCAACTACCCATCGGCTCCCCCGCGGCGCACCTCCGTTCAAACTCACGCATTACACGTTGCCCAACGGTATCCTCGGTATCCTTCATGATATGTTCGTGATAACTCGGACGCTCTGCAATCTTCTTCTCGATGGCTATACCGAACGTAAGTAACAGGTTTTGATCATCTGTCGCCCGTAATGCTTACCTTCGATGGACTTCTTGATCTCTGCCTCCTCCTTTTGCTTTTGTGCGGGACTGGTTTTTAGATCCGCTAGTGCCACCTTGAGAGACTCTTCGAACACTCCTTTTGCCTTATCCAGTTCTTTTTGCGCCTCAAGAACGCTTGCTTTCCGACGGTAGGCCTTTGACCAAGTGGGGTCGAGCTTGATAGCTTGATTCGCATCGTTCAACGCGAGAGGAAGCTTATTCAAAGACAAGAGTGCAGCGGATCTATTTGAATAGAGAGCTGAGGAGGTAGGGTTCAAATGAATTGCTTGCGTATAGAGCGAATACGCGGCGGAAAACTCCCTAAATTATCAGATGGGATACTGTGTTAGTTTGGCTGCCTCCCCTCTTTGATGGAGAGGATGGGGTGGGCAGGGAGGATGTAAATGTGTTACCATACTTTTTACCAAACGCGCCATTGCCTTGCACTTTGAGAGCATCGGCTTCCTCCACTTGAGCTTCAGTCGGAGCCATTGAGGTTGTGATGATATGTGGTGCCAGCGGTGCTAGCTATGGATGCGGGATGTTGTGAGTTGAATGAGGAAGCTCGGGTGAGACGGGAGGGAGCTCTTTGCAGCAAACTGAAACGCGGGACGGTAGGGCTTGGCACTCGGATGCCGCAGTCTTGTTTGTTTGAACACCTTTTTTCTTGGCAGGTATCACTCATCATTTTTGTTTGGCGGACGTCGAACGATTGCTTGAGTCAATGCCACCTACACGCGCACTGGGATTTGAATGGTCTTAGATCGCACGATGGGGACCCTATACGGAATGCGGATATCCTATATACAAGTGTTTGATGAAAGGAAACGAAAAGAAAAAGGGAAAAAGAGATTTGTCCAACCTCGAGTGAGGACGATTTCTGTGGATGTGGTGTTTAAACCGCGCCATTCGGGCCAATTTTACTCTGCATGTCCCAGTGCTCCGGTAGGGCAGTCTTAAATTTTAATACCGATACAGTACTCGGAGTTGGGGGGTTGTATTGGGCTAGACGCGCTCACGGCTTCGCCAAAATAATCGCACGAGAGAGGATGCGGTACGTGTATATACCGACACTATTCGACTAGAATAAGAGATTTTTCTTGAATATTGCATAGCCAAGCCGCCTAGTCTATCCCTAGCATAGCTGCAGGTAGATGAGAATTTTGGGAGGAAGTTCGATTATTATCGGGAGGAATTGGGATCTCCTTCTACCGGCCAAAACTCATACTACGGGAACGGGTAGTGACATCATTCCAGTGGTGGGCCCGGCCTTTGGTACTCGATCCAGCGAAACCCCTGGGAAACAACTTACCGGTAGCGTTGTTAGTCGGGTGTCGGCGGTAGTGGGGTTTGGATTCACTGGGTAAAGCTCTCGTGGGAATACACGTACCGTGCTTCACTATGCATCCAGCGATCAGCAAAGTGTTTATCCGGCAGCTCACACCTAACACTAGCCGGGTGTCGGGATCGCTTCGCCCCCCCCTCCCCCATAGCATGGCTTTCTCTTGAAATCCCAGCGACCGACGAATTCCACTCTAGCCTCAGCACCGGGGTTGGTGAATATCTACCGCAGCTGATGATGTTGTTAGTGGTTGGAAGTCGGAGACTCGGAGTTGTGTTGTTCTCACTGCTGTTGTTGGGTTGCCGTGGCAACGGGGGTTGTGGCAGGGGGCTTGCTGTCTTGGCTTGGCGTCTCTCGGGCGGACTCTTTGATTACCGGAAATGTGACTAGCAGCGCTGCAAGCACGACCTTCGCGTGCTGGGAAACACTGATGTCTTTGTCCCGGTTGGGGTTGTCATGGATATTGGGGCGGAATTAGGTGGATTGTGAATTGTTTCCGGTAGAAGATTCGGGATAGGGGTGGTTGTGTGCGGTTGGCGCTAGAACTAACTCCCCTCGGGAATGATAAAGCACCTAGCCAAACAGCCTGCGCCGGAAAGAGCCTTCCCGGTGGAGAGACGCCGCGGAAACCAATTTCAATAAGAGCGGGGCAGCCCCGGATGGCGGCTAGAAAATAATAGGATGCATAACTAGTAACGCTGGGGAGAAAAAAAATAGAATAAAGAAAATCTTACTACTAATGCCACTTAATAGATATTTCCGACGGGAGTGTCGGCCGCAGAGGAAACGAGGGGAAAGGTTGCAAAGAGAAAACAAAAAAGGTGAAGGGGGACCAATCAGCAATCCACATCCGGGGGCTTCGGACGTGAAGAGCCCGCCCACCATCACGGGGGTCTTGGTATAGGATCTAATATCTCTTCTCTCATGGTATGATAGTTGCCAGCCTTGGTGCTACTAGGCCGCTACCCGGCTCCGGCACTTGCGATATTTCTCTTGGCTCGCGGCGCGGAGTTAGGGATATTGACCTCGTGAAGAGCTGAGTCCCAAGTCCCATCGGTGGACTTGGAGTTTTTGCTATGGAGGTGACGTTCAGTGGGCAAATTTCCTGAACTGCCATAGACAGGACGGGAAGACCAACTACCAACCCCAGATTGGTATTGATGCAAAGGCCTACTAGTGGTCAACTTAGCTCTTCTACTGGTGGATTGGGGAGGATTTCCCAAGGGGGGATATGTGCACTTACCTATGCCCCCGTGGCCTCTCCGAGCCACATACATGATATATTAAATCGCAATATGTTCGGCAGAAGCATTGCTCTAGGGAATCGTGAGGTGTGGGCCATTTCCTGCTAAATCATAGGCCCAAGTTGATGGATTTTCGACAAGGATATTCAAAACCCTCTCTCCATACAGAGACTGAATTAAAGAGGGCTCCCGTCCTACCTTATAAAAGATACGGGGGAGCCCTGGGGTCGAACGGATAGTTCCTCCTTGGCTGTATTATCGAGGCATTTCCCGGCCAGCCAAATAGATCGCGGTTATTAGAGCATTCTTGTTTAGGGTGGGGAGTGCCGAAGGTTGCCAACAATTTTTCACTTGCTTCATATGTGCGATTGGTCGCCTCAACACCACGCATGGTATGGTCTAGATAACTGCAATCGGTAAAAATTTTGTTATCGGGCTACGGCAGTTGTCCGGCAATTACAGCTGAGTATGGGGTGAGTTCTACCATGTGGATGGCTGTGGATTTTTATATTCAGTGTTGAGGACTTACTAATTTCCGTGTGATGTGGACATATTCACCATGCAAGATGCTTATATTCGGGACTTAATGTGGGATGATCTGCCTGACAAAGACCGCTCAACCGGAGACTGTTTTCTGAACTCTATACCGTGAATATTGAGAGAACATGCCGAGATGGAAACAATATCGACTCTGTTTCTGGAGATCTGGACGCATGTGGGATGTGAATGAGAAAATCCTACGATTGGGATAGTGGGGTAGGTGCAGAGGAGGATTGAGGCCATGTTAAGTTTTAGAAAATGCGAGCTATGCAGAAATGGGGGAAGTGTCGAGAATGAGTTGTCCAATTGCCCTACGTAAGAGTTTGAAGAATCCTATATGAGGCATTTGAACAATGTCAGGTCGCCAGATGATGCTGCCTGCGTACCCCCGATAAAGGGGCTAGAAGTATGCTCTCTGGTATCATACTAAGGCTAGCACCCTGTGTTGGCATCTCCATATACTAGAGACTCTGGAACGCCATTAACCAAGATGGTAGTGTCTAATAGCGATGTTGTGGAATCACAGGAAATCACTCACCGGAAATCACTCGCTCCTCGATGCATTTATAGGGAGGATTGAATACGGGTTCCGGCAGGGGAGCCCTAGAAAAGATTGGGAGGAATCCTAGTAATGGTGTGTCTTTCAGAAGCCGGGTAGCCGTCCTACGCCTTCAAGTAATATCACAGGTTGTGGTGGGACGCCTGTCATCCCACAAGGGGAGATCTCGGTCACGCATTCACCGAGGACTGCATATCGGCGACCTCGAAGGAGAGAAGGAACTGGGCTCCCCACAGCGCCTGCAGATATCCTTGCTCTGTACACATCGTCGAGACATAAAAAATGAGCTCATTTGGCCACGAGGACAAGCCTTGCTGGTGATGTCTCGTCTGCAAGAGTTTGAGGTGAAGGAGTGACCGGAAGTGCATGAAAAGTGGGCTGGCGAGGGAGGGACAGGAGGGGAGTGCTGAATGCACAATTGATTGGAAAGAACCGGGGGTCTCTGGGTTACTCTGCATTAGCGTTGGGACCTGGTGATGCGTCTTCAGAGTGGGGAAGGGCATACTATTACGAGACAAAGATAAGAAGCCTTACAATTGCTCGGGATTCTGTCCTTGTTGTTTTTCTTTTTGCCTTATCTTTGCTATCGGACTGATTTTTGAGGTGGGGGCATACTGTAGAGGGCAATATTGGCCCGGCTGCAGGTGTTTGGAGTGTTGCTACAACGCAGGAGGCCCAGGGAGAGAATGAGGAAAGTGATAACACCTGGTGTGTCTGGATGAGAGAGGGAAGGGATTTGATGTATTTCCTAGCAAAGTAGGCTGCTGTCTAAAAGTAATACGTGGCTGCTAACACTCACCCACACACAACCTTCAATGCACTAACACATGAGGATAACCCCAGTACTACACACCAATAGAGTGTTAGGTTGGTGAGCACTTTTTTTGACAAACACCGTCTGCGGCACATCAGTATCGACAGCACAGAGTATGGCAGTTGGATGAGGGAATTTAGCTGCTAACATTCATGCATGCGAACTTGGTTTAATACGATAGATACCAGAAGCAGAACCTGGCCACGAGGAATCCTTCCTGTGGGGGCGGAGGTGGGCGGCGATGAATGGCCTCGGCATCACTCTTCGTGAACGACCCCATTGGTAGTGCTCCACCACCACCTGGGTGGAATACCCTTGACGTGTCTGAAAATCTCACAGTTGAAAGGGTTAATAGGCAGCTCTGGGGCTGAGCATTCTGTTAGGAAGAACGGGATATGATGTTCGGGGCGTAAAGCCAAGGCTGGAGGTGGAGAAAGTTGGGACTTGACTTAGGATTATCATTAACTCTGGCAGTGAGATTTAGTCCGGCAGGGCTACTCTAGTTGAAGCCTCATTCTTTAACAAGAGGCTCCCTTTAGACTGCGACTCTTGTTTATGCTTTTTGCATCCTTACACTTGCTTGCCCCGCCACTATCGTGGCTCATCAGCTTGTTGCCTGGGAGTTGACGAGACACCGGGAATCAGAGTCTATAGAAGGGGGGGTTATTCTGTTAAGTATTCACCCTGGCACTGTGATAGAAGAACTAAGGAATATGAACTTGGGTGGCTATTCTCGGTTTTGACTGTTTATTTTGACTGTCTAGAACCCTCTCCTTAACCCACAAGAGTTGAATCAGCCCGTCGGTGGTGCTAATTTGCACGGCAGTAGTTGTGGCTTATTTCTCCAGTGATCGGAGCCTTCGGAAGAAATGATACGAATTGGGAAGTGGCTAAGGCTGATATATATGCAGTGTCTGTCAGCCGTGGCTTGGGCTAATACCGGTACACGAGAAGAAAAAACAAGGGGGAGAAATTGATTTGTGTTGTGCTCGCGTACCGTACAGCCTTGCTAGCCTGCTACCGAATATGACTGAATTTTTCTTGGACGAGTCGC